AATTGATTCCTTACGTGTGGCATGTATTTCTTCAACAAATGTGAAAACAAAGGGTTGGAGGCACATTAATGACATTGATTTCTATGTGTGAGCTTTTCTTTTGTTCTGTGTCACATTTCACACAATTGCCTCGTTTCTTGCTTGTCTTTCTGTTTTATTTGTTACAAAACCTTTTTAGTTTCCTCATGTTAGTCCTTTGTTTTGGTGGGATGAGGTTAGAGTCTAAATGCCATATTTCAAATTTAAAACGAGGGCTCTAGATGAAAACTCATTTATTCGGTGTCAGATTCTGGCTGCTACAGGCAAAACTAAATCTATTACAATGCTTTGTCGGTGTGGTTTGTTTACCATGAAGCACAGAGATTAAATACACAGCTCTTCATCTTGTTTTGTTTTATTCTCTTGTCTTCTCGCTGGGGTAGTCGTTCTACTGCATGTGCTGACGTGATAGAATACAGTGTGCCATGCTGCAGCTGAAAACATGAATCCTGTATTCAATTTGCAGGCTGCCAAACCAAAGTAACCTAAAGGAGGCTAAAAGGCTGCACACAACTGCAGCGTTTCAGTCTTAATTCACTGTTCTCCACAGCCACAGCAATTTTTTCACATGGTACAGATAATGGGTGACGCCATCGACCGCAGAGTGGGCCTCTTAATTGAGTGTATATCTACGTCTGTTTGTCCCTCCTCGTAGGAACAATGCAGAAACATGACAGCTCTGCAAATAGCAAATACAAAATGCTCTTATAACCGCCTTGCAGGAAAGACTGAGGGGGGAGAGCAGAGAGGAGGGGAGGGGGAGTGACAAATCACCTTGGCTTACAATGGCCCTGCCACAAGAGCACAGCCTGAGAACAAATAATGAATAAATAAAGTTCTCTGAGATTGAATGAGGGGAACCATTCGTGAGGCAGGAGCTTTTGTGTGTGAACAAATGGCCACTGTGCTCATCTCGCAGATTAAACGACCCCAAGTGGGCCCGGGCACGAACAAAGCATCGAAAAACCACATGGCGAGGACAAAAGGAAACACTCGAGAATCACCAGGCGTGGCGCGTACGTGCACCATATGAATCATCACGCCTCGGCTAAAAATACGCACTCAAATTTCACAAGAGGCCTCAAGTGAAATCAGGGTGTGATTTGAGCTGGGATCAGGGTGAAATCGACTCACAGCCCTTCGCTCAGTGAGGGTCGCTGCTCGCCACTTACTCCACTCTCAACATGTAATAACCAATCGGAAATAAAAAAAAGGGGTCATGGAGAGCCTTAGGTAAGGTGAGTTTGAGGCGTGAGGGGTGTGCTGATTGGTGTTATAAGTGCAAGCTACTTTAAGGGCTTCTCTTTTCTATGTGTTTTCAAAGAAATGGCTTTTTTCCTTCACACTATTTTTCTCTTTCGGTCTCCTTTCCCTGGCAACAACCTTACGTAAGAGTTCAAACACACACTCTGCCCCTTTGCTGTGTGATGAAACTACCTGGCAAATCCCACCAATACCCAACAGAAAATTTCACACATTGCAGAAGGGAAGTATTTGGACAGGTATACAGTTGTCCTGTCTCACAAGTGTCCACGCCGCCCACAAAACAACATCCCTCATTAAAGACAGATCATTTGAAGAGGAAGGAGGAAAAAGACTTAATCAATATGGCTGCCTAAGGAGGTGAACAAGGTGGAATGAGAATGAGAGAGGGAGGAGGGCTTTGGAATAGAGTCGGAGCAAGATTAATGGCCATTTAAAAAGGAACAGTATTCATCAGTAGTAAGCTTCAGGTGCAGAACAGTGTGTACGTGTGTGTGTGTGTGTGTGTGTGCGTGCGGTACACTTTGCAGCAAGTTTAAACTTTGTCGAACTTCCATTAATGCTTCTTACATTGATACTGAATACTTTGTATTACTTTGCAAATGAGAGTGAGACTCAATTTCTTCTCTGTCGTGCCGTCAAATAAAACACACACACACTCACACACACAATTCTACAGGCAGTAATTCAACAGCACCACCTACAGGTTTAAGCATGTTTAGATTCAAATCCCTGCAACTGAGGGAATTTCAACTAAGACGCTTCACACTGTGAAAGGATTAACATTTTATTTCTTGTCAAAAATGTTCAGGGGCAGATTCAACCTTCACGAGTACAAATAATCATGTCCCCATGTTGCTAGAAAAACCATCTTTCTCACAGGCCGCAAACAGAGTGAGCGTTCCCAATAAATAAGTAAAAAGTTCAAGGACTTCAGCTGGAACACATAAAACATCCTCGTGGTCACATTTAAACATGTGTCCGTTCTAAATCACTTGCACTTGTACGTGAGCTGTTTGCGGTGATAGTGGATCCACGCAGGGGCAGCGATGAGCCCGGTCAGGAAACCAATCGTGGCGCCCAGACTGCAGGAAACGGGCCAGACCTGCAGGAAGCAGAGGATGAAGGTGAGTCTGATCGTTCACAGCCATTAATAGTGACCAAATGCTGAATCATCGCTTGACTTATTCTCCAAATATCTGACTCTAATTTGCAATTTCCTCCGGTCATTTTGCAGACAACTTTCGTATTTTTAGTTAAAATAATGAAATCAACAATAGAACATTTGAAACCCTTGACAAACTAAATCCAAAAAATGTTCTTGCATGATGCCTAACACAAGGACAAAGATCCCACTGTGTTCATTTTGTTTATGAGAGGATTTCTGACATGAGCTGACCTGCCACGGCCGGTCCCAGTCCAGAGGTATAGGGAACGCTCCCACCCAGGCTCCTACCACCGTGCAGACGACTGTAATCTGTAGACAGGTGTCCCACACTGACAACGCACTGGAGACGGAGACAGAGCAAAGCAAGGTCAGTTACATTCAATTCAGTTACATGAGATAAATACATGAAACATATGACAGAGGGAACAGGGAGAAGCGAAAAACAAGATTTAGACGCTTACCCATGGCGACTGAAAACACGGATCCAGGCCTGCACATTGGGCCCAAGGACACAGAGACACCTTAATGTGGTTAGAGAGGTCAGCAGCACAGCGAGGGAGAACGTCTCCAAGGCGGATCTGGAAAACATGAATTAGAGGTTCAGAGCACCAATCAAATCCCTGTTTAAACCCATAGAGTTTTAAACATGCAAACATGTAGAGGTGGCTAAACAAGTGTCCATAGAACAAAAAAATAGACAACAGCAATTATTAAAATGTGTGAATATGTAGTTTGCAAAAAGTAAGTGAACCAAACATTAACAGCTGTAGTGTGGTGCACGAATGGCACCGTGTACTCACTCAATCAGCGGAGCTCCGTAAAGAACCACCACCGCGTGAAAGAACAGGCACGACAGGAAGAAGTAAACACAGGAACGAAACAACCTCGAGAGCTGCAGAGAAGGAGGCGAAGAAAGTTCAACAAAACAAAAGTTAGTCACTTCTACACAAATAAATTATGAATGAAAGACATTTGGCGCAAGCAGTAATTCAAATCTTTCAATATTACTCTTTACCACTAACCCTAACCCTAAAATATGAAGAATTCTCAGCAGAGTTTGGTGTATGTGTTATGGCAGGAGCTCTTTCTGGTTTGGGAAGCAGGGGATCATGGGTGATATCCACCATTCAGTTGTGAATCAGTTCATTAAGTGGGACATTGATTTTGTTTTTTCTCTACTCTAAACTACTTTATTTCTCAGACCGTCGGCTGCAGGGGGCGCTGTCACTCAGTAAAGGTTACATATTGTTGCTTTAAAGGATCACATTATTAATCATGACATTAATGGTTTATTGCAAATGACTGCTACAACTATGTAGAGTTGACTTTTGATTATAGTCCAACTGTAACAGGTGAGTATCAAAAGCATTAAACTAGTTGAAAACGATCACTCGATCTGTTTTAATCGTTCACTCGACTGTCAAAAACAGCGAATATCAACTTTAACCCATCTAATTGATCAATACATGATAATAAAGGATCACTTCTACCAGCTCCACACACCCAGCGGTCAGTCAGTCACCTTGTATCCCAGCGTGTGCCTCTTCGTGGGCGGTGAGATACCGAGCAGCCAGAAGACGGCGACATTGACCGCGGTCACCGCAGCGGACACCGAGTAGATCCACAGCAGGTGGGTCCCGTACACCGAGAAGCCCTGCACCAGCACCGCAGGGAGCACGGTGGCCATGAACACCGCGGCGGCGATGATGGCGTGAGCGGACGCCATGGATCTGATTTCATGGTCCCACATGACGGTGACTTTGCCAGTCAGTGATCAGACTACTACAAATATCTACATACAATGTTTTTAAAATGTTCGTTTAGCGGCGGACGCGAGGAGGAAGTTGAGTGCATGGATTAAAGGACGAAACTTCCGTAAACACGGAACAACAGTGACTTCCGCGTAGACTTCAGAATAAGAGTTCAATGTTAGGTTGATATTCTCTCGAGAAAAATAATTTTGAATAGTTTTGAATTAATTGCATTATTTAGCGAGCTATTAACTAATCTTTTTTTTTAATGAAGGAAAGTTTGTAACCGATTCACTATATGTTTTTTTTATCAACAGTCCAAAACAGAAAAGCTGTTTAATTCACGATTACATGATTCTAAAAAAACAGCAACAAATTGAATGTGAGAAAAAATCTAATCAAAATATTTGCTGATAAATGTTCTGTTGATCAACTCATTAATAAAACACAACAGGTTAAAGCTCAAGTGTCTGCCTGCTAAGAGATTGTATTGACCTTGTTTAGTCTTTTGGAAAGACAATATGGTTTGATGTCAATTTGATTATTGAATAAATAGAATTCATGAAGTCCAAGTATGAGACATGTACAAGAATATAATCACCATCAGGGTACTTGTATTTTGAAGAAATAAAATACTAGTCTACAGCAAACAGGAAGTAGTATTTTGTAGCTGACCAATCACAGAAGGCCTGTGACGTTTTACCATGACCCTCTGTGACGGACAGCACAGCCAGCGAATGAAATTTTACGTCGTCATAGTATTGACCAATCAATGTGCTGCGAATCCGAGCGAGGACGAAATGCAGACCGGAAGTTTACAAACAGCTACCAAACAAGCTAATAGTTAGCTAACACTTTGGTTTCATTTGACCGACCGTCGAAAAAACCCTCCGTTATAACGAACAAAGGCAAAAGATGGTTTGTGAAAAGTGTACGTATGAAAACATCGAGATAGTCTCTACCTCAGAGTTGAACCTATTTACTGCTGTTGACGAAGGCTTGAGGTTATTCGTTAGCTAACGTTGTGGGACTTCACCTGCTCGTAAACGTTATTCCTTTAATACGTTTGTTTATGTTGTTCAACTGTTTGTGATATTCATCTGTTGTCTGTGTGTTCCCTGTTGTTTCAGGCGAGAAGAAGCTTGGTAAGGTCATCACCCCTGACACCTGGAAGGATGGAGCTCGGAATACAACAGGTGATCTTAAATCCTTCATCTATGTGAAATGACTTGTGAATAACTCTGGTTCGCTGAACTGTGGCGTAAAGCTGTTACATAAAGGGAAAGCCCCTATTGTTATTGTTGTCGTGCATAAGAAAGAAATGTACCTTTATGTACCTTTTCTAAACAGATAGTTTAAAGGTACAGTGTGTGGAATTTTGTGATATCTAGTGTTGAAGTTTCATGTTGCAGCTGAAAAAACAAAACTGTGGTAGCCTTCAGTCATCATAAAAACTCAAAATGTGTTCAGTTTATCCAGTCTGGACTAATGTAAAAAACATGGCAGTCTCCGTAGATAGGACCCCCTCGATGTAAATATAAAGTATTTAAATATAAAGGGCCTTTTCTAGGGTAAAGAAAAACAACAATTCATACAATTTAGATGAAACAAACTAGTGAAAACATCACGAGGATTATTCTACATTAAATTTCTGCCAATAGTTCCCTTTCACCTAAATCTTACACACTGGACCTTTAAGTTTCAGTGTTGTTCATCTTATTACCTAAGGTATACAAATAAAGGACAAAAGGTCATCTTGTACTACATCTTGCTCGACTGACAATGACTTTATGCACACATTCAGTATTCAATGATATCACCGATCAACATCAATATTTGCTTCCTTCAGAACTTCTAATGATGACACAAAAATAAACCCAAGTTTGACCCTCTCTTTTAATTATTATAATTTAGTTGATATTGTTTAATGGGGTTCTTTCTGCTTTCTTCACTCAGAGAGTGGTGGGCGTAAGCTCAATGAAAACAAGATGCTGACTTCTAAGAAGGCCAGGTAAGGCTTGATAAAGACTGACTTTATTCAAACAAAAGTAGGATGAGAGCTGTGCTGCTAACAGGGTGAAAATGTATCTCCCTCTCAGGTTTGATCCTTACAGCAAGGGAGGCTTCACTACCTGCAGGATCTGCAAGAGCTCAGTTCATCAGTCTGGATCACACTACTGCCAGGGCTGTGCGTACAAGAAAGGTATAAACTCACTCTCACTGGACTCCTTACTGAGCTGAAATCCTGATGAGTTTTTTGTTCCACTTGTGTATTTTCCTGTTGAGAGGTTTCTTTTTGTCCTCCTCTAACACAGAATGATAGACTGATGGAGTTGAATAAAAAACAAGATGCTATTGTTCCATATAGTTGTAGAGGCCAGGTTAATGAAGAAAGTGGAGAGGAAACCTTTCTAATATGTTTGGGATTTTTTAGCTTTGGAACGCAATTAGATCTAACTTAGGCTAGTGGAGCAGAGACAAGCTGATTGACTGACACTTTAGAATCTGAAAATATTCTTGTCTTCCCCTCAGGAAAACTGAGCATTAAGGGTTGGTTAAACTTAAAATAACACGTCTTCTTAATTACCCTCTTTATGCAGATATGCAGAGAGTTTTTATTTATATTCACATTATTCAATATTATTTATTTGACTAATCTAAAACACTGGGATGCAATTTGAACTCAATCATGTTTGTAGAAGTAGAATTTGACCATAATGCACTGCACTTGGACCCCAAAACTAACCCCATGTAAATGTTGCTGTTCCTTTGTGTCTGTTGGATATGTAAACACGTTATTGTTGTCATGGCTTGTTTCCACTGCCCCCAAGTGACCAAAACAGATACGGCAGGTTAAACATATTACTAAAAGGGACTTCATTCTTACATACATATAGTTTTTATTTCCATGTCATGATATCAATGCATCTTTCTGGGTATATATTATTTACTGCTTTAATCTCTATTTGCTCCCTTTTCTCTCCAGGAATCTGCGCGATGTGCGGAAAAAAGGTTTTGGACACCAAGAACTACAAACAGACGTCTGTGTGACAGCGTGCCGAGAAGAGAAGTGTTCTACAAGTGAACAACGGATGTGAGGATGAGATGGAGGTGTTTGTCATCTTGATTCATTTTCATTATTTTTCCATAGATCCCTGTCATAAATCTTTACTGTTATTCTCCCCACCTCAGTGAAAGAGAATCATTTGGATTTTGTATCCTCTTATTGTATAATACTCAATCAAGCTACTGGAACTAATTCAGTGGCCATACACAGGGTAGCCCTGTCTTCTCCAAACACATCACCATTTATTACCTGTTTCTTGAGCCACGGCTTCTTATTTGTTTTTTTGTGTATTTTAAGTGAAATAATTTTTTTTTTTTTAACAATTCATTTTTTATGTAATTTGTTCTGTGTTGCACTTTTTTGAGTGAATTAAAGCATTCAGTATGAGGACGTCATCTGTCAGGGATATTTTGTATCTTTGCCTGAAGCAATCAAGGGTTTAATTTTAGCCTCTTACGCACAACATATCCATATCTGTCCTGTACGCTTGTAATAATCAGTTTATTCTGACATAATCACATTTAGAAACTGCATGCTGCACTATCAGGTGTGACCCCCCTCCTACTCTCCACATCTGTCAGAGGTTATAGTTCATAGGCTGTCTTATGACAAGCCCCGCATTTGACATTTAAAGGCCCTGCTCACCCTCAGGCCTTCAACCATGTGTGTACACACTTGTTTTTATAGTCTATATTATATTGATTCATGCTGTTGTTCCACAGCACAAAAAAGCAACAGGCTTCAGCTAGTTTAGCTTATTGAAAGTAACGTTTGGATCTAATAAATGTACTTAACGAAAAAAGCTGTTGTGATCTAAAATAAAATAGCTCCTTTGTTCACAATTGACTATAACTATATCTGGTTATATAAAGTATTTCTAGAATATAACTCTATTACCCGCACCAAGGAGGTTGTCTTTTCATCTTTGTTTGTTTAATAGCAGGATTACGCACAAACAAATCAAATTATTCCCATGAAATTTTACTGAGTATTGGAAGATGAACCCATTAAATCTTGAATCAGATCCAGATCAGGCATTTTTTTTACATTTTCATAGATTTCTCCGATAATTGTGCATGGTTGTTGATGAAAGACATCTAGTGATCGGGGGAATTTGAATGTGGTTTTATGGGAGATTATTGGGCCTTTATTGTTTATTAGTTAGCAGGATTCTGCAAAAACTGCTGCAAAGCTTTGCATAAAATTGTGTGAAGGGGTGGAACATGACCCAAGGTAGATCATTAGTTTTAATTCAGATAAAACTCATGCAGTCCGAGGATGAGACATGTACCAGAATATAATCACCATCAGGGTTTTTTGACTTCCTTTAATTTTGTGTGTAAAAAAATCATGTTTAATAGACTTATATTTATGAGTGTGGAAGTTTGTGCAGCCCGATTTAATTTTAGGGGACTGTTGGGCCTTGGTGGAGATATGTGCTCTACTGAGTGCTATTCTTGTTAGCAATTGTTTATGGTAAAATGCCAGATGAGGTGGTGAACATGGTTTAACGTTAGCTTGTTAGCATTGAACTCAAATCCTATGTGCAGCCCATAATAACCATTAGCATGTAACTGTAGAATCTTAATCTTGTTGAAGTTCACACACTTGATGCTCAAAATCGGCAGGGGAACAATTTTCATGATGATGTTTCTATCATTTTATTACAGCAAAGAATCTTCCAAATCCCTGCTACAGTCGTCATGAATAACAGCAAAATTTACTCAGTACATCATTTAATCACTCGGATTACAGATGTCTAAAAGAAATTGTCATAAATTACAAAGACTTCATAATTTTGTGAAGAATGGACACAGATTGTTAAATATTCAAATATTTGGTTGATTTTAAATACAATAATAAAGAATGGAAATGTATCTCTTTGCAAAAGCACCAAAGAATTTCCCATCTGGAAATAAAAATATGAAGTATTGTCACATTACAACATTTCACTCAAGAGTTATAAAAACAATTGCCATGTAAGACTCAAATATCTAGCAAAGGCACCAAGACTGCAGAACTTCATTTACTGTTCACAGTGATTTTCAAATTGTAAATTTCCGCAGTTGGAAGTGAAATCATTCAGGCTTTAGTGTTGAGTGGTTGAGATCCAGAGTTAGCTCGAATCCTGCATCGAAAAAGCAGCGCTACGTTTCCTGCTTTTGGTTTTGGTCATTTTATCAAAATAGAGTCAGATGCGGATCCGGTGTCGCTCCGGAGGTTTTTCCGTGTGATGCTATCTACCAGGGCGTGAGAGTCAGTGGTGTGTGACATCTGTTAGGTCTGCTGTGAAAGGGTCAAGAACTCTTCCCGGGTTTTGGGGTCGTCGAGGTAAACTCCCAGCATGGTGCTTGTCACTGTGCGGCTGTTCATCTTCTGGACGCCTCGCATGACCATACACATGTGCCTGTTAAAAACACACACATGCACACATGGCTCAGGTTAGGGTTAGGGTTCAGGTAAGAACTCCTAAATGTTGCTGCTGATCCAGATCAGACATCGATGGGGTTTTAATAGGGGCAATGTGTGTGTGTGTGTGTGTGTGTGTGTGTGTGTGTGTGTGTATAAGTACTTACGATGCTTCAATAACCACAGCTACGCCTTTTGGCTGCAGAGCCTCAGATATTCCCATGGCTATCTGCTTGGTCAAACGCTCTTGAACTGAAAGAAACAAAATAAAAGGACTCGTGTTAATATGATGATACCAGATTACTCTCAAATTATACAGTAGAGAGAGAAGTGCTTCTGTTAAATGCTGAGACTATTGAAGTATAGCACAATTTCTTTCATTGCTTACCCTGAAGCCTGCGACTAAAGATCTCCACAATCCTGCAGAAATCAAAGCAAAGACAAGATTGATTGCACATTAGGTGAAATAAATATGAAGCTGTTGATTAACTCTGGCATCAGTCCCTGACCCCTTCATCTATGAAAGTTTCATCTGATTGAATTGTCTGAATCTGTCGAGCGAGATTCAACAGTTTATCCAGAACAAACAGTGTCTCTGTTACTGTTATTCTGGGTTTGTGTGTTCAGAGAGGTGCGATATTTTAGGGAAGACAGAGATGGAGACAGGCTGTGATAATAACGGGTGATTCCCACAGGTCTGCAGCGATTTTCTCATGGCTCGAGAGAGGAGAGTTTAGACTTGTGTCTGTGAGTGTGCTCGGTGAGGGGACTAGATTACGGCCAGTGGGCTTAGACCCTAAGCCTCCAGGTCAATGCATTGAGATAACAGAAGAACGCAGCCACTTGGCACTAACACCAGAATCAAATGTGTGTGTGTGTGTGTGTGTTGTGCTGTGTTACCTTGCCAGTTTGCTCAGTCCCACCACTTTTTTGTTGGGGATATACCCAATGTGAACCTGGAGGGAAATACAGCAAGAGTTACACACAGACTAACTCAGACACACACTACACAGCACAGATACACAGACAGACACACACTACAAACTTACACGCAGAAACAGAGTACACAGATGTACAGACAGTACACAGACCTACACACACTGCACAGATGCATAGACACACACTCTACTTACACAGTCGCACAGACTTACAGACATACACACACTCCACATACTTACACACACTGCCCAGATGCACACACTTACCTTTCCGAAGAAGGGCACCAGGTGATGCTCACACAGTGAAAACACGTCTATGTCCTTCACTATCACCATCTCATCGTGGTCTTCATCGAATATGGCGTTATTCAAGATGTCTGGGGAAACAAATACACAAATATTTACTCATGTTGGGCTTCAGCTTCAGTTTAAAACCTCATAGTCTAATATTGACATTCTCAATAGTTAAGATGATTGCTGATTGGTTGCTCATCATTAGTTGCTGACCAACTAATGAATTAATCAACTAATTGTTTCGGCTCTGAACTCAGCAGCAGATTGAAGAATCTAATTACAGACAGTAGCTCTGACAAACATGCAGCTCACCCAATAAACATTTACACCCCAGTACAAAGTCAATGCAGCATCATTACTTGAAACTACAGTCTTTAAAAGTGGACTTAATTAAAACCCTAACTTATCTCCATTCGTTGAAGTTTTTAAAACCAGATTGACGAGGTTTTTTAATTATATATTTATTTTAATCATTTTACGCAGTACCATATAGGTTTCAGTTTTACCACTTTTGAATCACTTTTGTTTTGCTTGAAAACTGTTTAAAACTGCTCCTGACTTGAATTCTCTCGATCTTCTCTCTGTGTTTGAGGATCCCTCTCTGTGCTGTAATATCTCCCATAGTGGGTTTTATTTCGTCTTGTTATTAGTGATCGTTTCACATCATAATGAACATGGGAAAGTGCTCTCACCGTCGATGGTCTCATGGTAGCCCTTGGTGAGGAACTGCATGGCCTTGGCGGCGCGCAGCGGCGTGCGCAGCAGCCCCTGACGGTCCGTGTCCTCGCCGAGCTCCTGCAGGATGCTGGTGTAGGCGGCCTCCAGCGCCGGTAACCGGGACTTGTCCTCGGAGTCCTTGCGGGACGTCTCGTGCTTGCAGAGCACGATGGAGGACTTCATGCGCTCCATGGCATCGATGACGTTGCCGTTGCAGTGTCCGTTCATTGTAGCGCTTGGATGAGAAGTGGAGGATGGAGGAATGAGTGCAGGTTCCCCTGGGGTTGAGTGATCCCGTCTCCGGTGCTCCCTGTCTTTATAAAGCCTCAAACCGGCTGAGGCGTGCGCATCCGTTTCCCATTTGCCAGAGTGCCACCTACGTCAAGAGCCCGGGTTTCGTCAGCGGAGTTAAATGTCAACACGGAGCACCTCCACCGAAACCAGGCGCACCGTGCAACCGATTCTCTGCGCGTCCCTCTCATCTCTCATCCATTCGTTCTGACTCCTCCACTGGAAACCAGACAAAACTCTCTCTCATCATCCCAACATCAGCAGACTCCACGTGGGACAGGAACTGTGTCCGTGCAGTCAGGCCCATTAGACTCATGATCTGTTGATCCACTGAACCCCCATGTACAGTGGTGCATAGATTAGATTAGATTAGATAGATAGAAATGCACATCTGTGTGTGTATTGCTGTTGTGTTATCTTATTGGCCTTTGTTTTTCGTAAAGGTCAAATGCAGCTCAGCTGTTTAAAGCGAGCCCTCCAGGTTGGCGTGTCATTGTTTTTATCCTCACATGAACAAAACAAGCAAATTACTTTCTCCTCAGAACAAAGTATGACAAACGTGAAACTCCCAGATCTGTCTGTACCTGAGGTTTATCATATCAAAGACACAGGTTGCTGAATCCCCCTGAAACACATGCGAGGGGGTCTTTGGGTCCCCTGAGTGAATGTGTTGATACTTGTGTATTGTGTGAGTCACCAGGGTCACTGGAGTTTGGGTTGGACAGACGGACAGACAGACAGACAGACAGACAGACAGACAGATAGATAGATAGAAAGATAGATAGATAGATAGATAGATAGATAGATGTCTAGTGTTTCTGTTTTTAAATTGTGTCATTCATGAATGAAGGATGTGTAACTACAGCTTGGTTAGACCTTGTTTCCACGGAAACGTGCTACGGTGACGATCGCGTGACGTACTTCCGGCCTGTTCCCGGCGGTGGCGGGAGATTCCAGCATGGCGGTGCAGCCGAAGCATAACTTGTCCATGGACAGTGCGGCCGAACATGGCTTCCTCAACTTCGTCTTCTCCATGCCGGAGAAACCGGACACCACGTTCAGGATATTCGACCGCAACGACTACTACACCGTGCACGGGAAAGACGCCATATTCGCGGCGAAGGAGGTTTTCAAGACTAACGGGGTCATCAAGTATCTGGGCTCAGGTACTCCTTAGCTTCAGTAGCTAACGTGTAGCTAGCTGGGGTTTGCAAACTACAGGTGTTTTGATGCTTAAAGTCAAGCTAAGCTAACTGCTAATGCATCCACTGCTCAAGGTGCAGCCCCGAGCTTTGCAGGAAACCTCTTTCAGCACATAATAATAATTATAAAATCAATAGTTTGTATAATAATGTAGCTCTCCAGAAGGATCTTGGTTTTGTTAAAGCACCTTTTCAACATTTGATCTAACCTGCAGCTTAATATTTATTCGACAGTTTTACTTGTTATTACTATTATCATTATTAGTATTCAGTTCTGTCTAATGTTATTTTGAGGAGACAGATGTCAGGTTTTATTTGTTCTTGATTTATCATTTTAGTGCTGACTTCAGAATCCAGGATTCAGATTTAAATACATTTGGATTAAAAAACTCCACCCATCTTTGTTTTGTGTAATGTCTAAAATTAATTTGTTTTATTTTGTTCAAACTTTGTGCTGTTTGAGACCACAGTGCATTTTAGTTTGTCTCTGTCACACTACATGAATACATGAATGAAATGCAAAGATACATGTGGGATGTGGTAGAAACCAGCAACACCCAAATATACATACAAGATCTTCAATACAGGTTATATGCACTAGTATAAAATAAGAAATTGGACATATTTCGTAGATTCAGAGCTGAGTACATCACACTTACATACAATCGTAAATTGACACATAATAATTTTAGCTGAATCTCTGTTGGGCCCCAAATGTCGAATGTCAACCGTCCAATCCCAATTCTTTTTGTTGAAGTGTGTTGTGTGTGTCTTTACTTTTGACGCTGCTGCCTATGCATCCTGTATTTGAAATGTTCTAAAGAGAGATGCATGATCAATATTAATTTTGTGCACCACATGACACTCATGACAGAGTATGTCGGTTGACAGGGAGTCGGAAGCTGGAGAGCGTTGTCCTGAGCAAGCTGAACTTCGAGGCCTTCGCGAAAGACTTGCTGCTGGTGCGGCAGTACAGAGTGGAGGTGTACAGGAACTACAGCAAGAGCAGCAAGGAACACGACTGGAAGATTGAGTACAAGGTGTTGTTTGTAATGCTTATTAAAGTGTACTGTGGCTGTGAGATAAACCAAAGCAATAGCTGTTCTCACAACCATAGATTCTCCATCCTGTCCTTTTCCTCCACACTCAGGCCTCTCCCGGAAACTTGACTCAGTTCGAGGAGATTCTGTTCGGTGGTGGAACCGGAGCAGTGGGCTGTGCAGGAGTTGTAGCTGTGCGTATCTCCACAGGAGCTGATGGACAGCGTGTGGTGGGTGTCGGCTATGTGGATGCAGCACAGAGGACGATGGGAGTGTGCGAATTTGCAGACAACGAGATCTTCTCCAACCTGGAGTCCCTGCTCGTCCAGCTCAGCCCCAAAGAGTGTCTCCTAGCTCAGGGTGACAGCAATGCTGACAGCAGTAAACTACGACAGGTATGATGAAGTCAGTTGAGCTCAGCATGGCTTTATTTATTACTGCAAGGGAAGTGAAGGCATCATCTCGCAAATAAATTGGAGGAGAAAGAAAAAATATTCCACTTGTA